ATCTTTTAAATATTTAATTTATATAATTTTTATATATAATAGTGATTCAAATTTATTAAATAAAATGTTTTCTAAAATTGATAGTGATTTTAGTTTATTATCTAAAACTTTTTCAAGAAAAAGACACAAATTACAAAATTTAAAATCTTGTTAAAGAGCAGTATTAGTATCTAAGAATAGCAAAAATATAGATATCAATATACAAATTCAGATATTTAAAATCAATTTTAATTAATTATATAAGAAATTTTAATTTTTAAAATTACAATTGTTAGCAAAAATCAATGCATAAAATTTATCAAAATGTAGCTATAAATTCTCTTAAACAATATTATAAAAATATGAAATTACAACTTAACAAAAAAAAATAAAAAATTTGCAAACAAATATAGTGTCGATAATTTCGTCCACATTAAAATTTCTGAATATAATTAAATACATAGTGACTATATAACGCTTTTATACAAAATTTTTAAAATTTTAGAAAATAATATATATCAAATTGAGTGCAAATTAGGTATTCTTGAAATCATATACAATATAACAGAAATTCTTCTGTTAGGGTCTAAATAATTTTTTAAATTAAATAATATTCAATCAAAAGTTATAAATATGCGAAAAGCATTACATGCACAATCATTTTCACAAATAGATAATATAAAATATAATTGTATAAGTTAGTGCAAAAAAATCAATACAAATGCAAAAAGGCAAGGTTCCTTGTGAAGTAGTTGTTATCCAAAAAATTAGCCAAAATCACTTTCAGAAGTTCGAGATCTACAAAATTGCTGTAGCATATATTTTATTTTATGAATGAGTAAAGCTATTTAATTTTATTACTTGAAAATAGTTTTTCAAATAGAATGCCTAGGTTCTTGGTTACTCAAAATAGATATTTAAATATTAGCGGCTGTTGCGGTTCTTTTGAATTGTCACCTATAAACAAAATATAGATCATCACTCAAACTTTTGGAGGTGATCTTGACTGATTCTTATTCAAGCAATTATACTTATACAAATATAAATATAGCTAATAACTAATAGTATAGTATTAAATTATAATATACTTTGTATATATGCTTTGCTTTGCAATAATAAACTATTACTAAAGCTTAATTTGTAAAATTTTTTGTAAAAAATCTTTAAATTAATTTATATAATAATTGCTTATTATTATAGTTTTAAAAAATATTCACTAAATAGATTTAGAATTAACTTTATGTAGATTCAGAATTAATTTTAAGTTTGTTAAATTTATTAACTATTTGGATGATTTTAAATTTTATTTCAACCTAAGTTTATATAGAATCAACTTAAGTTGATTTCAAACTTAAAAAGATTTGATTTTGACATACAATATAAATGCAATCTTTTTAAATATACATTCTATAAAAAACCTCTATAAATACATAACTTTGCTATGTTTCTATTATATCTATACTTATAGATTTTTACCTTTTTAAATACAATATCTCTTTAAATATAAGATTTTTAAAATTTATATAATGTCTGTATGAATTGCATTTAAAGAGAATTGATTGTAGAAGACCACCAAAAAAAAGATAAATTTAAACTTTAATACAAAAAAGAAAATGAATTTAAAACTGAATCTAAGTTTAGAAACAAAAAAAAATTAGATCAGAAAAAGGAGAAAAAAAAAACTCTTCAAAAAACTACAAAGAAGAAAAAAACATATTAATAGACAGAAAAAGATAAAAAAAGAGAATATATAAAGCTTAAGAAAGATAAATTATAAAAAAATATATATAATTCTTACCAACAAAGCAGTTAATAAATATATAATATTCAAACTACAAGTCAAAACCTTGGCTGTAATATTGTTGAAAAAATTTAGTGATTGTTAACAAGGTTGGTAGTTCCAACTAATAATTAGAGGAGCCAAATCCTCAATAAGTTAAGAATTTAATATGAAATAAACTAGCTGCTTAGGCAGGTTATACCTGGGTTTTAATGCTAAATAAATCTTTATTAGTATTAGATTATTAGTATAAAAAATATATTAAATATAAAATATAAGTTTCTGATACTTCAGATTAAAATAATATAGGATCATCAAAAAAATAAAAAATAAAACAGTTAAAATAATAGCTTTTAGATAATTTGAGAAATTACAGTATATAAGCTAGTTAAATAAGTTTTATATGAATTCATTATATAAATGTTCATATTATTTGATATAGAAGTTTTTTATAATAAGTAATATAATCTGTAAAAAACTTTTGCATTATAATTAAAAATTAGGAACATTTCTCTTGACCAATAATATTATTAAATACATGGAAGGAGGTCAATAAAAAACAGGCAAATTGTTTTTAATAACTTTTTTTAAAAAATTTAAATTTAACTATCTTAACAAATATTAAACCAAGTTTAATAAAAAAATTTTTATTTTGATTCTATAATTATATAGAATTAAAATAAAAAATTTTTATTAAATTTGGTTTGATAGTTATTCTATTGACCCCCCACATATATGCCAATATAAGAAAGCAAAATAGCTAAAATAAAAAAAATAAAAAAAATTTCTTCTTTTGTTCTAGATAATATTTTAAATTACTTAAGTTAAAAAAGATATTTAGCTTAAAATTTATAATAAATTCATATATTTTTATTATAATTTTTATTATATACAACACTTTAGGGAAGATGTTTTATGCCTGATAGCCATAATAACAATAAGAAGGTATCACTGTACGCGTTTCATCAGCAAATAAACTTGCTGACCGACATGAATATTCTGTACGTGACGAAAATCTCCCTCAAGCGACATGAGCAAGCCACCATAAGATATGTAAACAGCACTACAAATTTATTAATAAGTTGAGAATCATATAAAAAAAAAAAAGCAATTACACTAATATCAAATTCCAAAAGGGCTGATAACGAAATTAAAAGGATACACTTTACTTCGTCTTTCTTCGTCATATTTATAAACCTTTCCATACATGACATATTCATACTCATCAGACAAATCTCTTTCAGTGGACGATTTTTCCCTCCATGACGCCTTTTGAGTCATTTCTTCAGCAGACGTTGCTCCAGTAATCATATCCTCTGACTGAGCTTTTGATGGATCTAAAGCCAATGATGTAGTAAGAATTACGTTTACTCTGTCACCAATATCTAGAGGATAAAGGTCAGTATTGACATCTATTATAAGTTCCATTTCTAAGCTTTCACCGCGTCCTACAAAGCGAGAAACTATTAAACGTATTTTAAGAGTAAATATAATTTGTCGAAATACAAGTAAAATAGAATATTAAATTAATACCGCGATCAAATTTTTTCCCATCTTTATCACAATCATTGATATTAAACGTGTCGCTAAATAAAAGTATATTTTTTTTTGCCATATTTGAGAATGTAAAGAGATTAAAGGTCTGGACCCATATTTAAACTTTTTAATTTCATATCGATATAGTGATTCAGAATCGTTAATCGAAAAACCATTGATTATCCACATAATGATATATTTATCAACAGTTAACTGGTACTCAATGGTTACCCCCGAAACCATTTTCCTAAACCGGCCAGCATTAAGCTAATGTCAGGAACTTAATTACAGATAAATTATCCGAATTTAAATATGCAACTTTACGTTTTAATGTTTTCTGACTGTGGTCATGTCTCGACCCACTCCCGTTTTTTTATACGATAGGTACATGAAGTTTGAGAATTCTTTTAAAGATAAAGAAAGTGCTGGTAAATTTCTTAAACGAAAGAAAATAGGAAGACTTATTGATACCGGCAGATTAGTGCATAGAAAATGGTATTTATATTCAAAACAATTAGACCCAAGCAGAATTGCTTGCTACAAGTTCGTAAAAAAAAATGTTGCAAGTAAGTAGATTTGATTTGATGAATTAACAAATTTTATTTTATTATTATTCATATAAACATTTATTATTAGAGGAAATGGCAAAAATAGTTTTATCCGAACAAAAAAAGATTATTCACGTTTATGACGATCAATGTCAATTACTACATTCTGCAAAAAGCATCCATGAAGCAGCAACACGTTTGAATCTATGTCCTACTCTCATTAAACTTCATTTAAAAAAGACTAGACCTTTGATGGTTAAAAGTTTGGATAAATTTTATTACATTGTCACTGATATTGCAAAAATTAATGGAATGAATACAGAAGAAAGAGTAAATTATCTTAAAGATGCGAACACTATTTCTCCTACAGATTATGGGAATATTAATAAGAAAACTTCTAATAGTTCTGAAAAGTTATCGTTGCCGGAACCAGTATGTTATATTGCTTTATGTTTAATATTACAAAAAGGTGAAACCCGCGTTTTTCATCGAATTAGGATTAGATACTATTTAGGCAGTGATCTGCATAAAAGCATAGCAACCTCTGATATAAAAGTCTGGATTTTGTTTATAAGATTTGAAATTCTAGATTTGAAATTCATATAGGGTTCCTGTCACCTGTTGTTTTGTCTTTTGTTTGAAGCAACTTTGATATTAATTAAAAAATTTTGCGTTAATGAATATAGGAATTCTTTGATTCTATTCGCCGTTTCGCTAGTGATCATTATACAAATACCTATAAATTACCCGAAATGTTTGGCCAAATGGATGAATCTGCTTTATTGACAATGGGTATGTTGATATTATGAATAAGCGGGTTATATATATGCATTGTCTTAATAATTTTTTTTTGTTTTCAAGGAGTTTTGCTACAAGAATATATCAGCAACATATTTTCAAATACTTCATGAATCAATCATATTGAAAGAGTCGAGAATATTTATATATTTGTAAATATTTCTTATAGAATAAATTATTAATTAATAGAGATGCAACTAGTGTTAACTTTTTTCTTAAAAAAAAAACTTTAACTAGATGGTTAAAGTAAATTTTTTTCGATTTCATAATTTAGCCGTGTCAGATTTCGTTAAATTTAAAATTAGAAAATTTTCTATGAAAATAAATTAAAGTCTAAGTGCTAATAGCAAAATATTAATTATCGAACATTAGTAATAAATATTCTATAAACTCCAGGGATCATCATTTGACTTATGAACCTACTAGACTCCAAATATTTCTATGCCAAATTGATCTAACTCAATTTTTTAATATTTTCAAATTCATTATACGGAATCCATAACGATTTGCATTTATCTTAATCCGTTATTTTTTTTCAAGTCATTATTAATGTCATAAATTCATGACTTAATCACGTATAGATGCAGGTAACCCCGAATGATAACACTATTTGCATTAGCCAATCAGACAAATTTCTATTAATACAGGTGTTTTGCATTGCAATCTGATTTATTTAAATATTTTTGTAACTTTTATAAAAATGTAAAATATCTTCAAAAATCATAAGGATCCTTTTTTTCATCATCACCTCCAGACTTAATTACTTTCCTTACTGTTAATCCACCTTCAGGTGGTAAGTGAAAAGTCTCGATGGAAAATTTTTTTCTTCTCAATTTAAATCCTAAATTATTACCACCTCCACCCGAGAGTATTGATAATTTAATTGAAGGCGATATAAGGGAATTGATTGTCGGTAATTTATGCACATGGAATAAACCATGATATGAAGCACTATATATGTTATTTACTGTTGCAGATGAACCTATCATTTTTATACATTATTAGTAATATAGTAACATTAAAAATGAATGAAAATGAATGAATAAAGGTAAAAAAAAAACCTGCAAACGACTCCAACTCGACAACTGCATCAGATATATGTTCAATTCGTCTTATAAATGAGCAAGACTCCGAATTAGATGAATATAAATGAGCTGGAATTGTTATCACAGATAAACTAGATGAAATTCTTAATAAGCCACGTAAGGCATGAAAAAATCGATAAAGATCCTAAAGTAATAATAAACAAGTAATAATATTTAAAATTATCATATATTTAACATTTATATATTGAACATAAATAATAAATACATGAGGAGAATTAGAACGCCATGAAGGTGATGCGATCGAATGTATTCCAATTCTTAACGCGTTTTTCTCAACACCAGTCGATGGTGCCGCCAATGAACTAAATAAATAATTAATTATCTATTAAGTTCAAATTTTAAATTCAATTTTATTATATATAAATTTTACATATGAATCAAACCTAAACTTGTTTTGCTCAATAACATGACGGATTTCGGATAAAAGCTTATCATATATGCTCTCATTATGCAATTCATCGACCCATTTAGTTGCATCTACTAGTGTTACTGAAGCCGAATCTATCGATGATTGTGGAATTTGTTTTGTTAAATCGAAAGTATAGCAAAATGGTTGCTCCTGCCGTTGAGATCCGGCGATAGGGATTCGTTTATCTTTGAAAATGGTTGGTATGACTAAAAAAAAAAAAAAAGATCGATTAAAATATTATTTATAAAAGATAAATTTATTATGAACATGTCATACCATTCTTTTTATTATTACTTTTAATTCCAGATTCAAACTTCTTCATTTCTTTATACCGCCAAGCAATTTTCATTTTATCGTCGACCTTTGCTCCATCATCCAAATCATTCGCGTCATCGCTCGTAATCCAAGGCAATCCTTTTATAAAACTTGAATTTTCTTCAGCGCTGGAAAACAGCACATGGTGGCCTGAAGCAATTCCTTGTGCCAGGAAGTATTTAAGTAATAATTTAGAATATCCGGTATACTTGTCTTCCTTTATTAATAATATCGTGCCAATTGGTAAACCACCACCTAATATATGTGTTTAAAAAGTGATTCGTTCGTTCGTTCAATAGTTAGGATAATATAGGCATATAAGGAAACGGTATGCGAAACATTAGAATGTTAAGGATATCATCCAATGAGGGTACTCCTGTTGATAATAATAATTGTCCGTTATATGGAGATAAACGTGCTCCTGGTGGATATTTCGACGTTTGTGGACTATTTTTTTTAAAAGAACTAAAAGAACTAGAATTACTCATGATTATTAACGTTAAGGGCAAAAACGTTGATCTACAGTATTTGACAGATAAGGTTATCCAATCACAATATAACGATAAAAATGCACCCAAAATTTTGAATACGGAAAAAATAATTTTTTGTTTTTTGTTTTTTTTAGCAGGTAAATAATAATAAATTTTTAGGGTGGCTCAGAATTAATTTAGTCCGAAAATGAAAGTTTAAAAACTCCTACATTTTGAAATTTCGAAATTAGAAATAAAATGAAGTAGGAATTTTTTTTTTTTATATATATTATCGTATATATATAAGAAAAAAATAGAATTTATAAAATACGGCACTAATTTTATTCGAAATCAAAAAAAAATTTTTTTTGATCATTAATTCTGAATCATCCAAATGTTCTATAACCGTGATAATATCACAATGATTAATAACTTGTTGGCACCAGTCCGAAATATATGATGAAAAATTTTCTTTTATACGCATTTTATCTGAGTGATAAATATTCGCTAGGTGGAACAGCACTTTACGAATTTAATAATGAGTAAAAACTAATGATCTATTCTATATATTATTAAAGCGTTAGTTAATTCCAATGTCTTATTAAAAATGGTCGACTCAGACTTTATATCTGTAATTACGGAATCGAAGATCTTAATCCTATTTATTATCGTTCTTGTTATCTTCCGGGCGGTCAGTGTATATTTACAAAAACAAGCAGATAATGTCGCCTCGGTATTGACAAAAAATGTTACTATTGTTGTATTGGGAGATATTGGGAGATCTCCGAGAATGCAATATCATGCTTTAAGTTTTGCTCAAAATGACTGGACAGTAGATTTAGTAGGATATGATGGTAAGAATAATTCAATGTCCTCCATTATTTCTGTAAGGTACTTATAAACTTTTAAACCATAATTTTTTATTTTTTTTTATAGGTTCTAAACCCCTTATTTCCATAACGAATAATCCAAATATCAATATTCATTATATGTCTCATCCATGGAAGCTACCGGATAAATTACCGAAATTATTATTTTTGGTATACGCCCCGATCAAAGTATACATACAACTTTTGTTCTTATATTGGATTTTATTCGCAAGGATAAATCGACCAAATTGTATGCTAGTACAGGTAATCAATTTAAATTTTAAACCTTATTAATCTATTTTAAAACGACTGACTAATAATCCTTATTTTTAGAATCCCCCTTCAATCCCAACATTAATGATTACCCAGTTTGTTTGTTGGGCACGGCAAGCGAATTTGATAATTGATTGGCATAATTTTGGATTCACTATTCTTGGAATGCGATTAGGCCACAATAGTCGTATTGTCAAAATTGCGAAGTGGTTTGTTATTTTGAATTATTATTATTATTGATTATATAATGTAATCATTACTGTGTTTATATATCAAAGTCTTAATTATTAGGTATGAAAAACTATACGGTGGGCGTGCACATGCACATTTAACCGTCACTTCTGCCATGCATCGTGAATTGATGTATAAATGGGAGGTTCAGTAAGCGTTTTTCTACGTAGGTGTAATTATTTATTTATTATAGAATGAATTTTTTTTTTAAAAAAAAAAATTTTTTTCCAGAGGGGCTATATCTACCTTGTATGACCGGCCACAATCGCATTTCAAACAATTGGATTTAGAAGAAATTCATGAGGTTAAATTTAGAAGAAATTCATGAGGATATAAATTAGATAACAAATTGAATGATATTCTAATTCTGTTTATTATTCACGTCTCTTTTGTTATTCTATTCATAGTTTCTTACCAGGTTTAATCTGGAAGAAATCATTTCTAAGCAATCAATTGATTCGGGCTTTCTACCTCCTTCATCTGCGACATCGACCTTATTGACTACCAAACCTTCACCAACTGCTCCCGCAAAATACCGCAGTGACCGTCCTATATTAATAGTTAGTAGTACAAGTTGGACTGCGGACGAAGACTTTTCAATATTATTAAAAGCGGCAAAGCGATATGACCAAGCCACGGATAAACTTTCCCAAAAGTTTCCCAAGTTAGTTTTTATCATAACGGGTAAAGGTCCCCTAAAGGATATGTATGAGCAGGAAATCAGCAAGATGTCATTGAAAAATGTGAGAATAGTGACAACATGGCTACCTGCGGAAGACTATCCTTTGATACTAGGTATGTATGTATTTCCTTCTAGTCAAGTAGAAAAGATGGCCATTTAATTTATTATTCACGGTTCAAATATCACAATAGGATGTGCTGATTTAGGAATATCCCTTCATAAATCCTCTTCGGGAATGGATCTGCCAATGAAAGTAGTTGATATGTTCGGATGTGGGCTACCTGTCTTTGCGATTAATTTCGATTGGTGAGTTCTGTGATCATTTAGTATTATTTTTTCTAAAAATATTATTCATTAGAGTTGAACCGGTTTATTTTTCACATGTTAAAACTGATTAAAATCAGTTTTAACGTGAAAAATGAACCGGTTCCAAGCTATAGACTTCATAAACGTTTGATAAACTCGTTTGACTCGTTTTAGTATCGGCGAATTGGTGCAACATAACAAAAATGGCCTTATATTCAACAATGAGGAAGAATTGGCAAGACAACTAATTGTAAGTGCTATTTGTTATCAAATTTGTTTTTTTTTTTTTTTTAATTTAACTTTACCAATTTTGATTTATATAAACGTTTAGGAAATATTTACTGATTATCCTGCAAACGCGTCAAAAATTAAATCAATGCGTAAGCATGTGGACGAGTTCCAAAAAGAACGATGGGATGCAAACTGGAATCGTGTTGTTTTACCTTTATTATATTCATAAAAAATTTTATTAACGAATTTGAAACAAGATTTTATTTATAATAATATCAGCTTTTTTGAAACAGAATAAAATCTAAAATCTAAAATCTAAAATCTAAAATCTAAAATCTAAAATCTAAAATCTAATATTTTCTAGATAATAAAAATTCTATGTAACTACTAAATTGAGATTTTTTGGAAAAATATCGATAGTTCATTAAAAACCCACACCTTATAGTTGCACTATATATCTTGTGAAGATGAATCCATTGTAATAATATTATTTCGGCACTAAGGTTGCGACCAAACTTTATAGTTTAGGATAAGGTAGAAGTCCAAATAGTCTTTATATACTATATATTTATATATTAGGTTTCGCAAAGTGTCTCTAATTTGCGTAATGTCAAACACTTGACATTCCATATAAAATTGGGTTTGTGACTCGCTAGCTTCTTTTTTGATCTTGAGAGTCGCAAATTAAGTTTCCAATGATTGCTTAATTTGTTGGTATCTGTAAAGGGTCAATGTTATAATCTAAGTTGAAGGCAAAATTTGCTTTCTTGTTAAGATATGTATGAGTTCTTTTTCGCAGAATTGAGCTTCTGCAGTGGTTACAACCTTTGAGGGTTACTAATCTTATATAACACAACCCACAATGAAAAAAACTTGATGGTAAAATGATTTGATCTGAAAATCAGAAGTTCTAATTAATAAGATTTCAAAATTTATTATTAGGTGGGCTTTATAACTAATACAATTCATTTTGCAATCAATTATGGAATTTTTTATATAATAAATATAAAATTAAAATCCCTATTATCAAACCCAAACTACGTAATAATGCCAGTAGTCAAAAGGGTTGAGTAGCAGCACTACTCGGCACTAATTGAATTTTCCCTAAGGAAAACCTTCGAGATGATTGATCGGCTTGTGTTGAAAATCTTTCAACTGCTTTGTTGTGATCGTCTATCATTGCCTGGACAACGAGATACTCTTGATAAGGATCAAAATAACGAATAGGAAGGAATACGGTATTTGCAATTGCTTCCTGAACTATTCCACGCAATTTTAAATCATCAAAAAATAATTGAAAATACTTTACGTGATGTACACGATCATCCCATAAATAAATTGAACTAACGGAAGGGTGGTGCCGAAGTAATTCCTTTATAAATGCGAGTTTAAAATCCTTCGTATAAACCCTATCGTTATTATTTTCCATTATTGTTTCATTACGGATGAGTTCTTCATATTTCTTAGTGCCAATTTTTTGGATAATTGATGGGCTATAATACGAATTCCAATTTAAAGTATGTTGATCCGGTTTGAGTCCTAACACGTCGAATTTTAAACCCTTTCGTTCTACCATATCCGTGATGATATGATGAAACTCTGAATAGCCACGTCCAGTAAGCAATACTGTTAATGAAGTTGGATTATCCATTGATTCACGAACGAGGTTTACAATTTCGTCATTCCACCACCCTTTCCATCTTCTTCGTCTTACTGATTCATCAAAGCTTAACGATCCTTTATGTTGATACCATCCTTTGTAAAACATTGAATCATTTTTGAGGTATCCAAATAATGGATCCATCCACAGCTCGCGATTTGGTTGCGGTGACGCGAAAAGCGTACCATCAAAATCGAAAATGTTGATTCTAGTTATAAGATTTTTAGAGTCGGTCATAATCACGAACTAGAACTTGATTATTTTGTTGAGATCTTGATATCAGATATATATATATTAAAGATGTTACGATTGTTCCCGTGACTAATGAATGAGTCATGTTTGTCGACTAATCTGTCATGATTAAGGGGCAAATTAGCGTTAGTATTTGTATCGGTATTGTTGTAATTTTTAACTCGTGAGTCATAATTAGTGTTATAAATTCAAAAAATTTTTATTGGCGCAAACACAAGAAAAATGATACGCGCTTTAGAGCGCAAATTTAAATCTATGTGCGCTGCGCCTACTGCGCGGATCCAATTTACACCACTGGTCATAATATATTAAATTTCCCATTTCTCAGTATCTACCTTTTTATAAATGGTAACTCGAATAATTCGAGTAAATTAACTCGATCTAATTCGTTAATCAATTTGACAGGGCGTATATATAATAGAAAATGGTAGTATAATACGTACGCACCAGGTATAATTAGGGTTGTTAATGGAGTAGCTTACTCCGGAGCATTCCGGAGTAGAACCCAACCCAAATTGGAGTGGGTTTAAAATTATGCCTTTAAATTTGGAGCAACCCGGAGTACTATGGAGAAAACAAACCCAAACCAACCCAACCCATTAACAATCCCAGGTATAATACCGTAGCATGGTATAACTTAGCTTAATATAATTCGGAATTTTTCGGCATTATTCCAATGGAAAACTTCGAAATTGCAAATAAATTGGCTAACCCATTTCTATTATTGGTATTATACTGTGTATTATACTGGTATTATACCGATCGTATAATACCTAAGTAGGATCAATTTTCTGGTCATGTGATTTTTCGAGGTCGAACAAAAAGGCTCATTTATATTAGGGTTTGTGCGTAATTTAGGGTTAGAAAAGAATGCCTAATAGTAAATTGCACGAGGAATTTTTTTTATTAGAGATAAACGTAAAGTGAACGTTTGAATTTTTTACATTACATCAGTCCTGATTTTTAACTGGCCAATTGATCCTACTGATCCTACGCCCTGATATAGTTATCGAAAATGGGTCGTTTTCTAGGAAAACCACAGATTGAAGGGTAAATTTAATCGCATTTTTCTCAAAATTAAAACTACCCTTCAATCTTACTTCAATCTGTGGTTTTCCTAGAAAACGACCCAAATGTAGGGATTGGAACCGCCTAAAATTTTTCTTAGTCGTTTAATCGTTTAATCGTTTAACCGTTTAACTTGGCCTGCATTAAGATAATTCCGGCCCGCGACCAACATAATTCTGCCCGGAATTATGGAGCAATTTTTAAACGGTTAAACGGTTCCAATCCCTACCCAAATGTGTACCAGGTCGTGCTCTGGAAGATCATGTGATTGTCCAGGATCATACCAAACGATCCAAATGATCATTAACGATTAATTAAATAAACTACCGCTACATTGTACTAGTACTGTACGTAGTAATTATCGTTATTTTAAAGCCAATTCTTTTCTTTATTTATATTTCGTTTCATATTTCGTTTCATATATCACTTCATATTTCGCTTTATATTTCGCTTCATATTACTGTATTTCGTTTCATATTTCGCTTCACATTTCGTTTCACATTTCGCTTCACATTTCGTTTCAAATTTCGCTTCATATAAATAAATAATAATAATAATAATAATAAAATAAATAATAAACAACTACTTGCTGGTATTGAAAATTTTAAGAAAGAATACGAAAAAGCTGAATTTAGAGTTTGGAACCGGTTTTATTTTTCATATGTTGAAACCGGTTTTAATCAGTTTTAACATATGAAAAATAAAACCGAACTTGTTTTTTATTCTATCAACGGGATTCTACTGTAAGGTGAATCATTACGAAGTGAAGAAAAATTCCCTATAAAAAATTTTCGAAAAATGTATCCCGGCCTTTTTCAGATTATCGTTCCATTATCGTTCCGGAAAATGCTCATTTTTCGGAACAAAACATATACAAACTCTTGATCATTTCCATAGAATCCCGGTAATTTTCGCCTAAAAACAAATTCGGTAAGATTCGGCTTCTAATTACTGCTATTTTCATAACGATAATTCCTGGAACATCTAATAAAAATTGACCGAAGAATGCTCCAGATTTCGGTATAATAGATACAATAAAATTACAAAATTGTACATTATGTATACACGTACGTACGCATTGTACGTAACTTTTACATTAATTAGTGCACTGGCACATGATTTTTGTCCCTCATCGAGGAGGTTGCAAAGCAATGAATTACAATAAAATACAAAGAAATAAAGTATTCTGCCCCTGCTCCTTCGTGCAAATAGTCCCACCATAATACAGAATTCGAAAGCATCGATACATGTGCCATAAACTTATTGATTATAGCTAAGTTCTCTACAATCACATTTCGAAGGTTTGTCCTCTTTTTCATTCGTACTCTCTAACTACTAACAATACCTACCCGAGCGTAATACCACATATGATTCTCGTGACTATCCACTAAAAAACTCGTGTTTGACTGTCGTCCGACAGGCCAAACCCGACATCAATAAACAACGAAAACTTTGTGACTGTCGTCCCGACAGGCCACTTACTAAAAACTCAAGATTTGACTGCCGTCCGACAGGCCAAATCCGACGTAAATTAAACAAAAAAACGATAGATCTTAGTGACTGTCGTCCCGACAGGCCACTTACTAAAAACTCAAAGTTCGGCTGTCGTCCGACAGGCCGAACCCTTTTGGATACACTAAACA